AAGACAATCATTGACATTGTCACTGAGAAATTAACCGAGAAAACAGCATCCAACCTAAGAGACAGCACGCAAAAGTAGAGAAGACCAACAAACATATGGATATCCTTCACTAGGAGGACCGTGGTTAGACGAACTGTAGTTCAACGGGAAACGGTGCTCGTAACTCGTTGAGTTGTTGTCGACTGTCGAGAGAAGAGAAAGAGAGGAGCAAAGAGTGGTGGAGGCGTAACAGGCTTCAATCGTTCAACATAAAGGAATTAAGGTTAGGGAAAGATTATATATTTTCTGTGTGGCTGTCATTAAAAAAAAAAATTGGTTAATTTTTTTAAATAATTATTAATTTATTATTATATTAATTTTATTTAAATGAATTATAAACGGATTGATATATTTTACTTGAACATAATTTGTTTATTAAAATATTAAACGGGTCAACTCGATGATCACCCAAATTCATTGAAGTCTTACTTAAATCCATTTAATCCGTGTCTCTGTTAATGGTATAGGCTACTAATAAGGTGTCTCAAGTGGAGATACAACTGCGAAGGCCTTCTACCTTTTTTTTCTGCCCTTTTCTTCGCATCTCTCTTGAAGGCGAAGACTCTCTGCACTTCGGTCATCTCTCTCCCCTAGATTTTCTCTAAATTTCCTAAATCTCGGCAGATTGGCGATTACATTTTGGTTTCGCTCCGACCATAGGTCCTAGAGTTGTAATTGAAATCTGGAAGAAATTAGGGTCTGTGGGTACTTATGGGAGCTCTGCCATTGCTGTTGCCGGTTCATGTGAGGCTTCTGCTATTGATTGGATTGGTGTTAATTTGCTGTGGTCGGTTGATAGTTGTGTACTTGCTATGGCTATTTCAGGTGCTATTTACGCACTTTGTTTGATGTGTTTCCTTGGAGTATCCGTGCTTCCTAGAAATGACGCACAAGCATTGCTACCACTTGCTTTTCTCTCTTATTCAGACACCGCAACAGACCAGCCATTCAACAAGTCCACACTCAACTAATCACCACCAACTTACTCTCACGTCTATCCACCACAACCCCAATCCTGACATTCTTTAACACTCTGCTCCGCCACTATTCACTTAGTCACTTCCCTGAAGAAGCTTTCTTACTCTTCAAACACATCCAACACCAACACCAACACCAACACCAAAACCAATACCAAACCATCTCTTTTGATAGCTTCACTTACTCCTTCCTTATAAAAGCCTGCACTAATGTACAGCGACCAAAATAGGTATTCAACTTCATGGTCTCACTAATATAGTGAGACCATGAAGTTGAATACCTATTTTTGGTCGCTGTACATTAGTGCAGGCTTTTATAAGGAAGGAGTAAGTGAAGCTATCAAAAGAGATGGTTTGGTATTGGTTTTTGGTGTTGGTGTTGGTGTTGGTGTTGGATGTGTTTGAAGAGTAGAAAGCTTCTTCAGGGAAGTGACTAAGTGAATAGTGGCGGAGCAGAGTGTTAAAGAATGTCAGGATTGGGGTTGTGGTGGATAGACGTGAGAGTAAGTTGGTGGTGATTAGTTGAGTGTGGACTTGTTGAATGGCTGGTCTGTTGCGGTGTCTGAATAAGAGAGAAAGCAAGTGGTAGCAATGCTTGTGCGTCATTTCCTAGAAGCACGGATACTCCAAGGAACACATCAAACAAAGTGCGTAAATAGCACCTGAAATAGCCATAGCAAGTACACAACTATCAACCGACCACAGCAAATTAACACCAATCCAATCAATAGCAGAAGCCTCACATGAACCGGCAACAGCAATGGCAGAGCTCCCATAAGTACCCACAGACCCTAATTTCTTCCAGATTTCAATTACACTCTAGGACCTATGGTCGGAGCGAAACCAAATGTAATCGCCAATCTGCCGAGATTTAGGAAATTTAGAGAAAATCTAGGGAGAGAGATGACCGAAGTGCAGAGAGTCTTCGCCTTCAAGAGAGATGCGAAGAAAAGGGCAGAAAAAAAAGGTAGAAGGCCTTCGCAGTTGTATCTCCACTTGAGACACCTTATTAGTAGCCTATACCATTAACAGAGACACGGATTAAATGGATTTAAGTAAGACTTCAATGAATTTGGGTGATCATCGAGTTGACCCGTTTAATATTTTTAATAAACAAATTATGTTCAAGTAAAATATATCAATCCGTTTATAATTCATTTAAATAAAATTAATATAATAATAAATTAATAATTATTTTAAAAAAATTAACCAATTTTTTTTTTAATGACAGCCACACAGAAAATATATAATCTTTCCCTAACCTTAATTCCTTTTATGTTGAACGATTGAAGCCTTGTTACGCCTCCACCACTCTTCTGCTCCTCTCTTTCTCTCTCTCTCGACAGTCGACAACAACTCAACGAGTTACGAGCACCGTTTCCCGTTGAACTACAGTTCGTCTAACCACGGTCCTCCTAGTTGAAGGATATCCATATGTTTGTTGGTCTTCTCTACTTTTGCGTGCTGTCTCTTAGGTTGGATGCTTTGTTTTCTCGGTTAATTTCTCAGTGACAATGTCAATGATTGTCTTTCTGGGTTCAGAAACTCATTCTAAAAAACAT